GTAGAGACGGGTTTCACCATGTTGACCAGGATGGTCTCGATCTCTTGACCTCGTGATCCACCCGCCTCGGCCTCCCAAAGTGCTGGGATTACAGGCTTGAGCCACCGCGCCCGGCGACTTATGATATTTTTAAACTTAAGATGAGTTTGTCAAGATGAGAAGCATCTATATTAGAAATAGTTTATCATCTAAACAGACAAGACTATAAATAGAACAGATTCATCAGTTCAGGACAGGAAACAAGTTCTCTATTTTTTCTTTTCCCTCGGCTGCTGTAAGTATATGCTTTAAGAACAAATTTACTATAAGGCTTCAAGCTCTCTTCAGCAGCTAAAAATATGCTATTCTAAGTTATCAACACTGAAATCAGAATATGAGAAATATCAGCAAGTCAAATAAGGTGGCTTTTACCCCATCTCATGAAACACGCTTGTTTGTTGTTTAACAACAGGAATATGTTCTGAGAAATGTGTTGTTAGGCAGTTTCATTGTTGTGTGAACATCCTAGAGTGTATTTACACAAACATAAACATATCTGAACATAGAAAAGTACAGTAAAAATACAGTACAGATGATAATTGTACTCCTGTATGAACACTTCCCATGAATGGAGCTTGTAGGCCTGGAAGTTGTTCTGAGTGGTGAGTGAATGTGAAAGTCTAGGACACTACTAGATTTTACAAACACTATACACTAGACTATTGCTACATTTATTAAAATATTTTTCTTTCTTCAATAATAAATGTTAGTTTACTGTAACTTTAAAATTTTTAAAAACTTTTTAACTCTTGACGCTTAGCCTAAAATACAAACACATTCTACAGCTGTACAAAAATATTTTCTTTATATTCTTATTATATATACTTTTTTCTATTTAAAATACGTTTTTAACTTTTTTGTTAAAAACCAAGACACAAACACACACGTTAGCCTAGGCCTACACAGGGTCAGGATCATCAAAATCACTGTCTTCTGTCTTCACATCTTGTCCTACTAGAACAGGGATGTCCAATCTTTTAGCTTCCCTGGGCCACACTGGAAGAATTGTCTTGGTCCACACATAGAATACACTAACACTAAGAAAAGCGGATGAGCTTTAAAAAAAAAAAAAGTCACAAAATGTCTCATGTTTTAAGAAAGTTTACAAGTTTGTGTTGGGCTACATTCAGAGCTGTTCTGGGCTGCGGGCTGGAGAGGCTTGCACTAGAAGGTCCTTGGGGCAATAACAGGCATGGAACTGCCACCTATGACAACAATGCCCCCTTCTGGATACCTCCTAAAGGACCTGCCTGAGGCTGTTTGACAGTTAACTTAGGGGAAAAAAACGGAGAAAAAAAACTACACAGCCAAGTAGCAGTAGCTTCTGCCACATATCCTGCAAAAAAAAAAAAAAAACAACAAAAAACAAAAGTTGAATTAGGTTGGGCGACATGGCTCATGCCTATAAAATCCCAGCACTTTGGGAGGCTGAGGTGGGTAGATCGTCTGAGGTCAGGAGTTCAAGACCAGCCTGGTGAAACCCGTCTCTACTAAAAATACCAAAATTAGCTGGGCATGGTGGCAGGTACCAGTAATCCCAGCTGCTCTGGAGACTGAGGTAGGAGAATCACTTGAACCCAGGAGACAGAAGTTACAGTGAGCCGAGATCACCCCGCTGCATTCCAGCCTGGAGACAGAGTGAGACTCCATCTTGATTAAAAAAAAAAAACCAAAAAACCAAACAAGTCGAAGGAATACACTCTAAAATGGCCATAAAAAGTACAGTAAATACATAAACTAGTAACGTAATCATTTGAAATATCAAGTATTATATAATACTGCACATAGCTGGATGTGCTATGGTCTTATATGACTGGCAGTGTTGTAGGTTAGTCTGTACCAGCATCACCACACACAGGTAATGTACTGTGCTATGACATTATAAGACTGTGACGTAGGAACTTTTCAGCCCCATTTTAACCTTACAGGAACTGTCACATAAGTGGTCCACTATTGACCAAAATGTCATTTTGTAGTGTATGACTGCAGTTCATTAAGCTTAATGATGAAAAGACAGTTACATTAGGCCCTTTCATTTACTTTTGTAACTTATCTGATAAGTGAGAAACATCTTTAAGTTATTAATGAAGCCTTTATCCCAATCCTTTAGGCAGAATAGAAAAATATTACAAGCAAAAACCAAAATGACATCTTAATTAATTTTTAACATAGCAACATAATAAATTCTACATTTAGCATACAGTATTATGAAATAACATGAATGAACTGAACCTGATAATTTACTGCCAATTCAAAATTGGAAAGAAAAAACTCAACAAGAAGAAAATGAGTTACAAAAGGAATATAAAAAAATTAAAATATGAAATGAAATAAAGCTTTACACTGAAAATTAAAAGGAAACCAATGGCTTAATAGTGCAGATACATAAGAAATTTTTAAGATACACAAAGAAAATGAACAAATATGAAATTAATTTGTAAAAGTTGCTGGAAAATAATGTTGAAAGTATTTTCAGTTTCAGTTCTGAAAAAATTTAAGCTAAGAATAATTTACTTACCCAAGTTCTGTCATGCCATCTAGAAATTCCTTCCTGCTAAATTCACACTGAGTTGCTGCCCTGAACTTCCACGCGATGACCAATACACTGATACTGGCAGGATCTAGGTGCAGATCATCACAAAACTGTTGGATCCCATCTATTCCAATTTTGTTTTCATCTTGTGGGTCTGCAGTTAACATCAGGGGAAAAGAAAGTTATACTTTTTTGAAAAGTAATTCTAAAATAGGAGGTTTGAATCCTATCATTCTATTATACTACCTAGTTCTAGCAAGCGTGTTTCCAATACATCAATCAACAGGCTGCACAGGAAAGAAATAGTGAGCAACAAATAATGTATCCAGAAAACGGTCCTATTTTTAAAATCTAGGTTTCTGGATTTTAGGGGAAAAAAAAATCATTGACTTTTGAGAAGCTCTGATCACTAAGAAAAATTTAATTTCCTTAAAGTGAAATAAAAATTCAAGTTTACAGAAATTTAGCTCACCCAAAGGCAAACTGCTACAAAAATACTGGATTGATAAAGTATTTGTAATACCTCAGTTATCACAACTCTGCCAAAGTAAATGAATGATTGATGTTTTTCTTCTTAAATAATTTTATTTGCTAGTTCTAATGGTGCTGGACAATAACTCTTTTTCAGAATAATTTAGCTTATGCATCCACATTTAATAGCTTAGAAATTCAGGCTCCCCACCCCCTATTTCTAGTTTAAAAATAAAATTAAAGAACTTAGCATTTGTTTATCAAAAAATCAAACAGTAAAATATATTTAAAGCATCCCAGCAAGACGTCACTAAAGCTAGTAATTTCAGATAGATTATGTATATCATAATATAACATAATGCATATGTCAATTGTTGGTTTAGAAGGTGAAATAGAAAACCTGTAGCTTCTTTGCTCAAATAAAGATTAGGTATGATAAATTTTTCTTCCCCTTCATACAAAATTTAACTTTGGTCGTTTAAGTAATATATTACTACATATATATAGTTACCAAAGAAAAACTGGTGACATAAATGAAAGAAACCATAAACATCTTTCTAACTCTATTCTCTTATATCAGGAGAAAACAACCTCACCCATAGTTTATGGGACAGAGGTTCTATTAAAAAAAAAAACCTCACTTATTACCTTATTCAATTCCACCTCCTTATATTACACTTCAGGAATAGAAATACTGATCTACAAAGCTCTGAATTAATAAACTATCTCAGTAAATTTCATTACAACAATGTTCAATATTTCAAGTAATTTTGCAAGTACTTATTCGTTTGTATGTTAATATAATAACATATGTTTGTCAGCAGTCTTAGAGCTATGTTTATTTTTAGAGTCTAAAATGATTACACCATGTTTCTACTTTAACTAACTATAATTGCATGATAAAGTTAAATAATAATGAAGGAATGAAGCTTCAATAACACCTAAAGATACAATTTTCCACTTATACACAAGTATTTTTTCAAAGGCAGCTGTACATATTTAAATAACTTTAAAAAAATTTGCATAGCATATGACTTACAAAATTAGCTCAGTAACTAACTTAGCCAAAAATTCTTAAAACATGACTAAAGCTTAACTAAAAACAATTTTAATTTTTTAGGAACTATAATAAGTACAAATCTGATTTGTTTGTTTTACCACTAAGTTTCTGAGCCAAGATTTTTTTTAAGGCAATTTTCAATCCATTTTTCAGATCTAAACAGAAAGACTAAAGTTCACACACAGTATTTGGCCGGACACAGTGGCTCACGTCTGTAATCCCAGCACTTTGGAAGGCCGAGACAGGCGGATCACGACATCAGGAGTTTGAGACCAGCCTGGCCAATATGGTGAAACCCTGTCTCTAAATAAAAATAGAAAAAATTAGCCCAGCGTGGTGGCGCGCACCTGTAGTGCCAGCTACTCGGGAGGCTGAGGCAGAAGAATCACTTGAACCCAGGAGGCGGAGGTTGCAGTGAGCTGAGACAGTGCCACTGCATTCTAGCCTAAGCAACAGAGCAAGACTCTGTCTCAAAAAAAAAAAAAAAAAAGCAAAAAATGAAAATAATAAACAAACAAGAAGTTAAAGCCAAGGAAATTATTCTATATTTGAGCTAATACTTGTTTAAATGAGGGTCAAGGTTTGGTTTTGTTTTCAAGTTTTGGAAAACTTAGTCTTAAAAACTGCTAGAAACAGCTAAACAAGTCAGCTCTTAGCCTGCTGCCTCTCCCTCTGCACTAGATATGAAATGTAGAGCCTGCAGAGGGACCTGGATCTGCATATGCTCATCAAGGCAGTCTAGAGTTCACGGCACAGCTGCATTTTCACAAGAAGCTTTGATCTAAGCACTGATGTCAATAAAATCATGACTGTTCACAATCTGCAACACAAGGTTTCTTTGCTGAGAGCTTTTCCCAAAGCCTCTCTAACCATGGAAGCTATTTCAGTGCTGACATGCCACTACCTGGGCAAGGAAAACACTGAGGTTCACCCTTGCTCCAGGATCATCTTCGTGATTTGGTGGTGTTCTTAACCTTCTCACCATCAGTATTTCAGCCTAAATAGAAGTGCTTGAAAACAATACCATATTAACAGACACAATCATGCTGACACCAAGCCTCCCAGCAGTGGCTTTTCCCTGACAGGCTGTGCGACATCGGACTCACCACACAGAACAAGTGGGCGCTGGCCTGGTCCTGATCCATCACTGACTCCCCTCTTCTCGCCCTCCCCACCTCCCTCCAATCACAGTCCCAGCCCCATTTAAATGGGAGAAAGTGGATTCTGTAGCTGAGCGCAGGGAGAAGAAGCAAGAGCAGCCTAGAGACCTCCTGCCTCTGGCACCAGAGCCCTGGACATGCAGTGCGCAGGCCGCTGACGGAGGTGGGCATCCGTCCAGCTTTGCTGCCAACCCCTCTTACCTTTGTACCTGCCGTACAGCTGCTCCAGCTTCTTCTTGTCCACAGTGTTCCGCATGGACTCCCTGTGGAACGAGTCTGGGTTTTGGAAGAAGCTGTCCGTGGCCTCGTCTAGTCTCCACTCATTCTGCGTTAAGCAGTAGATAGCAGTTCTCTCGCCAGCCTGAGTGCATGCCATAAACTGGCGGACCTTGTCCCTCTGAGACGATTTAAGCTTATGCTTTGGGATGCAAAAGAAGTAGGAAAGCCAGTGAGGCTGCTCAGGGTTTGTCCCAGCCTCTAGCCTAATGCCTGCACTTAACTGGGCAGAATTACAGAACATAAAGCTTTGCTCTTCATTAGTTAAAAAGACTGCACAGCCTTCTGAAAATCGAAACAACGGCACCTACACAGTAACAAACAGGCAGTCTAACCTTCAAAAATTATGAGAATTAACATTTTATACAAGACACATTCTGACCTCTACACAGTCACTCTGCGTGAAGTATGACTATTGTTTTTCTAAAAATCTCTGTATGCCTCCCTCTGTAATGCACATCTAACCCTCTGATGAAACAGGGCAAGGACTTCACAGCATCACCGGGCCCTAGCTGCAGGGTCTTCTTTGGCTTCAAGTAAGTTCAGGCTCTAATGAATGGGAAGAGGCTGTGCAGTTAGGAGACATTAAGTTTTTCCCAGTTTAAATTCAGCAGAATCACACTGATAAAAACGTACACCAATAACTAAGGAAAGTGTTAAAAGTAATTTATAAAAATTTCACAAGCAGGCACAAAAAAGCCTGTTATGATTAAATGGAAACAATAATACTAATAACAAGAATGCCTCTGTATAGGAGACAGAAATAAAATGAAAAATAGGACAGAGGCTCTGGGCAGGCAATAAATAACAAAACTGCCAAGTAGCTGTACTATATATAGTATATAATGAAACAAAGTAATATCTTGACACTTCCAGATATAGGAGGGCTGAGTTTCCACTTATCTAAAGTAACTTGATGATGTAATTCCAGCACTTGGAGGCCAAGGCAGATCACTTGAGGTAAGGAGTTCGAGACCAGCCTGGCCAACATGGTGAAACCCCATCTCTACTAAAAATACAAAAATTAGCAGGGCATGGTGGTGTGCACCTGTAGTCCCAGCTACTCGGGAGGCTGAGGCAGGAGAATCGCTTGAATCTGGGAGGCAGAGATTGCAGTGAGCTGAGATCTTGCCACTGCACTCCAGCCTGGGCGACACAGCAAGACTCTGTCTCAAAAAATAATAATAGTAAACAAAGTAACTTAATGAAAACAACACTGGAAAAGAAAGTGATTTACTAACTTCTCTAAATCCAAACAGACCCTAGAATCTACTGGATGCTAATGTTTTACAAAAATGCTTTCCACAATAAGGGGGTAATTTTTTACTCAAATTTTTATAAGGAATTTATGCTCAATCTTGTTCAAATAAAAATGAGACAACTTATAAAAACACATGGAATGAATCCTAACATAACTTACAGAAATATACAGAAGGATAACAAGGTATGGATGAGAAAACTTGAGACTGGGGAAAAGGCATACCAGAAGGCCAGGGGTACTGTTAGTACAGGGACATGCCTGTCACATGTCAGAGCTGGAAATCAGGCTCTAAGCTTCCCCAGTGCCACAGCAAAGAAAATATGATTAGTTAGGAAAATCCGTTTTCATAGGATCTAAAACCTTAGCAGCAGCTCAGAAGTGGTACAGACCATTCTGGCCTAAAACCTGAGGGAACCATCTCCTGGGGCTCCTCACGAAGTTCAACGTTTCCTCGTGTATACCAATTTCTCACCAAAACGCCAACGACGTACTGCAGAGCCGGCTTCCAGTTTTTTTTTTTTTTTTTTTTTGAGACAGGCAATCAAAAAGCATGGTGCCAAAATACCAGAGGACAATTCCGCAGGAACATTAAGCTAATGCTGTCCAGACAGACACTCCCCCGCGTGCACCTGGGACCCTGGGGTCCTCAGGCCTCTCAGGAGTTCCACAGAACTACCTTCCTGAGTGTTCTAAGCTGTCACCAGCCTTGCTCACTCTCATTCTCACAAAGTGCACAGCAGAGGCTTCCACAGGCTGTATGGGTTGTGATATCACAGGACTGAAAACAAGACTTGGGAGCCTTTTACTGAGCCAAAATTGAGATATTTGCAAAAACTAATGGGTTTATTATTGCTAATTAAATACAGAAATATTTCAATACTTTCTATTTTAATTTCTAATATGGTAAATATTGACGACTATTACCCACATAAACAATGGCTCTCATTTAAGAATGACTGGGGTTCGACGTTCCGATGACTGGGGCTCCAATCATTCTTAGAAACATACAGGAAATGTGGTTCATATACACCATGGCATACTACGCAGCCACAAAAAGGACGAAGATCATGTCCTTTGCAGCAACACAGATGGAGCTGGAGGCCATTTCCCTAAGTGAACTGATGCAGGAACAGAAAATCAAATGCCACAAGTTCTTACTTGTAAGTGGGAGTTCAACACTAAGCACATGTGGACACAAAGAAGGAACAACAGACACCGGGACCTGCTTGAGGGTGGCAGGAGGGAGAGGATCACAAAACCACCCATTGGGTACTGTGCTTCTCACCTGGCTGACGATATCATCTGTAAAGCAACCCCCATGACACGCTACTGACCTTTATAACCAACCTGCACATGTGCCCCTGAACCTAAAATAAAATAAAAAACAAGCCCCAAAACAATAGAGGACTCCTGAGACGAAACACTTTGAGAACTGCTAATTCAGGGGAGTCCAGGGAATTAACATTTCGGCCACTCAGAACAATGAGTGTTGAGCATTTGGGAGTCTTGGATCCCTTTTGGAATCTGATGAGTCATCGTTCTGCCCTTCAGGAAAACATATAAGAACCTCACATGCGCAGGCAGCTTTGAATAAAATTTCAGGGGTTTCACAGATGGCTTAGGTCTATCTGGAAAGTTCTCATAAGGTAGGAGAAGGTAGAACTCAGGCTGAGAGCTGATGAAGAAGATCAGAAACCTTCACTCAGCCAGCTTTCTCTCGTAATGTTCCAGACAGCAGCCATCTCAGGCTTGTGTGCCAGGTGGTATGCTGCAAAAGCAGACAGCCATAGTGTTCCAATAAAACTCAATTTACAAAAACAGCTAACTTGTGGGCTGTAGTTTGCTGACCCCGACCTACATTCTAGAGGAATGAATGAATACACATTCTCTATATTATTTCCTGAAATTGAGCTTTTGAAAAGAACTAAACAAAGAATTCAAGGTTATATTCTCCGGTAAGATTGAATTTAGCTAAATTAAATCAGATCCCATATTCTCTGACAGTAAGCTGACAAAAGATAGAGCTGGTGTCTTTTTACGAAGTTGACAGCCTTCTCAAGGGAGGGTGAGCAAAGCCAAGAGTTACCTTAAAAAGTTTAGGATAAAGACACAAGTACAACCCCCAAAATGGTCCACCACTAAGAAAAGCCATGACATCCTCATTATGGAAGCGGCCATCATTGCTAGATTTAAAAATTCTGCCATGTTACACAACAAAATTTAGTATATCCATGTAACAGAATAGAATTTGGCCATAAAAAGGAATGAAGTATTGATACATGCCACAACATGTATGAAGCTCAAAAGCACGATGCTGAGTGAAAGAAGCCAGGCACAAGAGGCCACACAGTGTATGACTCCACTTAGAGTTAATATGCAGAATGGGCAAATCCACAGAGAGAGAAAGGTGAGTGGTAGCCAGGGGCTGGGACAAGGGAGGAGCTGGGAGTGACTGTTGATGGGTGCAGGGCTTTCTTTTGGGGCAACAAAAATGTTTTAAGACTAGATAGAGGTGGGGGTTCCACAAATTTGTGAACATACCAAACACCATTGAATTATACTCTTTAAAATAATTTTATGTCACATGAATTTCACCTAAAAAAAAAAGTCAACATTGTACTCGTTAGACTGTCCCAGACTATTCAGCAGACTAATATCCTCTTGGGTGACTGAATTATTCAACCAGCATTATACAACTGATGGCTCCACATCAAGAGATCTGGAATGCAGACACCTGGAAGACATGATGGTGTCTGATCCTGAGCTCCCGCGGGTCACCCCTTGAAGCCGCCTCTAATATGTGACGACATTGTTACACCAGCAGCCTAGTTTCCTACAACTCTAGAAGAACAGATGCAGGAGCACATGGATTCAAAGTGGTTTTGGATGATTACTGTTAGCTACAGAGGGAACCGAAGGGTATCAATAAACACGAAGATCCTCCTGCAATCTACTCAAATTGCCTGATGTCACAAGATACGCCAGCAAACCCTGAATGGCACGGTGGTGCCAAAGCACCGGTTCAGAACGAGCAAGAGCAGCTCTGAGGTCTAGGCTTAGCCCATTAACATGTCTCTGGCCAGTCAACAAAGGTGCAATCATTTGATGTCACCGCTTACAGGTTTCTCCATAAAATAACAGCAATTAAAGCAACGATGAGTAGCTAAATCTAAAGACTACGTGCTTCATGTCCAAAAGTGACTAAGAGACCCAAGTGGCCTCTTCTGAAGAAGGGAACTGGCATAAAGCTTCCTAGGAAACAAAAAAGCTATCAACTAACAAACTAAAGGGGAGAGAAAGAAGCCCCGAGTGCCCTTAGACAAGACTAAACCCAGGTCAAATTAACAAAGGCCCAGACGTTGGCAGGAAGCTTTTGAGTGTACCCAGATGGGACTGAACCCAGGTCAAACTAATCAAGGTCGATCCACTGTGGAACAGGGGCCGCCCTTCAGGCTGATAACCTTCACCGAGGCTTACCACGTCATGCAAATTCAATTATTAGTCCAGCTTTTCAAGAGTGTATGTAGCGGGGTATTTTCTAGGTTTCACTACTTTATTCTATTAAAATGTACACAATTCTTGAAATAAAAATCCGGATAATCCAGCGGAAACAGCAAATGAAATCTCTAAGCTATAAAAAGTCTTAAACGTTTTAACTGTGACTTTGTGTAAAACTACTCATATAATCTGGCATCAAGGATACCCATAAGTCGAATGGAAAGAAATTACTCTTACAATGTCCTTGGGTCAACTTACAAGGGGCTGGTGGGCCAATCATTTTGATCAAATAAACTATATAAGCTTATGGATCACTTTGACGCTGTTTTGGTGTACAGAACACTTGAGGGAGGGAGAGTGAAATTCATCCCCGCTCCGCAGCAGTGGAGGAGCTGATAGATGATCATAGACGCTCCTCTCCCGCATTCTGAGCGTGTTCAAGTTTCCCCAAGCTAAGTTCCTGTCAACTCTGCCCGTTTCCTCCTAAAAGGTGGAGCGAACTACCTTTACCAGCCCAGGTATGCACCCTAACTCATGCCACCTCGCTGCAACCCGGCCTCCGCAGTGACCCCTGAGGGTCACACAAGCCCGGCGGCTGCAGTCAGTGGCATCTTCACAGCTGCTCTTTCGTTCAGCACTGCTGATGGCTCCCTTCTCATCTAGACCCCATCCTCTTGATTTCGACACATTGTAGCCTCCTGGTTTCTCCCACCGGCCCTTCTCAGTCTCCTCTGCGGCTCTTCTCCCCTCCTGACACTCTGTCTTCCCCCTCCACTCCCCTCTACTCGTCACCGTGTCCCTTCCCGGCTCTCTGTGCTTTAGCCAGGGCAATCTTTCAGCTTCTAGACGACGCCATCGCCGACCACCTATGCATCGTCTGTGCGTACCGTTTCTTCTGCCTGGAGCCGCGCACAGCTGGCTGCCCCTGCCACCTCACTTTTTCTCTGGCTAATTTCCAGAGAAATTCTGCAGAGCTCAGCTCACACCCTCTGCATCTGACAGCACGCCCCCGCCCGCACCCTACAGGCTCCTGGACCCCGTGCCTCGGCCCTCGTCCCAGCCGTGTGTCTGGCGCCTGCCACCCCTGCTGGGGCACCAGCTCCTTCGGCGCCAAAAGCGCGCCCGGCCCAGCGCCCGTCACCGCCAGAGCACCCTGCTGGCCTCTGAGGCGCTGTGTCTGAGCCCCATCCATCACCGTGGCTTCCACCGCACTTCGAAGCAGCTGAGGCGCACCCCGGCAGCCTCCCTCCCGGGCCGCAGACGCACAGCCCCGGCCCGAGCGCCGCCGCCTCTCCTTCCCCTCCCGCAGCAGGCCGCCCCCGCGAATCTGTGCTTCTCGGGGTTCCTCCCCTGCGCGGTTTTGGTCAACAGCCTCAGCACCTGCACCGGCGCCCGCAGGAGCAGCCGAGCCCGCGCGTGCGTCCGCTCCCGT